ATTACATAACAAAAGAAAAGCACATCTGGTAGAAGTATAATCACACTAAAAAATAAAATATCTCTTAACTTAGTTTTACATTTGAGTTTATGCAAGCATTAATGTTTTCTCTTTTTTAAAAACAGTAGCTGTTATGGGAGCCATAATGGTCTGCAGTGAGGCAGATGAACAAACTGAAGAATTAGTGAAATATTCCCAGTTGGTAGCTTCATCATGAGAAAGAAATATTCTCTCAGGGATCTCAATGAGATTTTTAAATCTTGTGTTGAGTGATTTATTGTTTTATATCTACAATTTTAAATTGTTCTGAGAAATGTTTTTGTACTCTAGAGAGAACTAATGAAAACATAACTGAAAATATATACACTGCCTTTTTAAAAATATCTTTGTAATCTTTATTTTAAATTTCCTTTTTATGTTTCCTTTCAAAAAGTTGGTTTTCTTCTGACAATGTTATTCTATTATAAATTTTAATTTTCTTATTCTGGCTTTGTCTAACTTCATAGATTTAAATACCTCAGCAAACCTAAAGTATAAAGATGAAAAAAAATTTCTGATGTGATGTCAATGTGCCAACTGAATGGTATTTATACTTTGTAGTCAGAAATGTTACAATAAAATTTTCTCTGCTTGTGATCTCACATTATGGAGAGTTCTGAGGGTCTGACAACTCCTGACATTATGATATACTCCTATTACATGGTTAAAGCAGACAATCAGAGCAGAGTTCTCAGCAGAGCATGAGAAAAGATTTATAGACATGGCAAAAGAACACTTTGCCTGTTCCCTTCTTTAAATAATTATGACTTTCCATGAATCTCTTTCTATATCAACTACAGAATGACAAATATCTGGGCAAAGAAAAGGCCACAAAAATATCACTTACTGTAAGCACTATTGAGGTTTTAGAAGCACAGTATTGAATTCTCTGTTGTACGTTCTGCATATGATTCATTATGTGGGATGCTCCCCACCTCTCCACACACCATATATTTCTCCCATTATCATTCAAAAAGGACTTTTAAAACTCCCTCTCTCTGTCAAGTTCATTCTTTTCTCAATACAAGGAGTCAAGAAGAAAATATTCCAGTGTATTTTTCATTGAACAAGTTGAGGAGATGTGATAAAAAGATTTGTCTAACTGATTACATGGTATGAGCACTCTGGAAGGGCTTTCCAGGATTTCAGAAAAAGAAAAAGAACATTTGCAGATATATGTTTTATTTAATTGTGAAGGTTTATATAAAGTAACATTTTGAAATGCTAGGCTGGGTGCAGTGGTTCACAGCTGCAATCCCAGCACTTTGGGAGGCGGAGGCAGGTGGATAGCTTCAGCTCAGGAGTTTGAGTCCAGCCTAGGCAACGTGGTGAAACCTGATCACTACAAAAAATACAAAAATTAGCCAGGCATGGTGGTGTGCACCTACAGTCCCAACTACTCGGGAGCCTGAGGTAGGAGGATTGTTTGAGCCCAGGAGCCAGAGGTGGCAGTGAGCTGAGATCAGGCCACTGCACTCCAGTCTGAGCAACAGAGTGAGACCCTATCTCAAAAAATGAAATAAAACTTGTATTTTTTTAAATACTGAAATACTGAATTTTGAAAAATGTTTTTTTGTTCTGAAAAGGGAAAGGCAATATTTATAGAGTAGCTACTCTGCAAGGGCCTTTTCTTAGCTTATATCTATGGAAATAACAAAGCCCAAGGAGGGAAGAAATATCAGCACCATTTCACAGATAAGCACACTGAGTTATAGACAGGATATGTGCCCAAGACCACACAGCGAATAATTACAGACCCACAATCTAGAGCTTTGTCTGACCCCCAATTCATATTCTTTCCCAAGACCTGAGTATTGCCTACTCCTAAGTTTTACATACAAAAATAGGTAAACACACAGAGTGAAAACAAAAATAATCTAGACTTCTTGCTTTGCAATTATAATCTAAATGCAGAATGGGGAAAAAGAGGTTACTGCTGATTTCATAATTTATATAATTCCATTTATTTGAAGAATCTGACAATAAAATACTTAAGGGCTGTAACATTTATAAATTTGCAGACTTGCTGAGCTCTGAGCTATGCATATTACCTGCATTACATTTTGTAACTCTTTTAATTCTCACAATAATAACACAAGGTAGGTACCATTACTGTCTCCATTTTAATGATGAGAAAACTAAGGCTGAGAGGTTCAAAAGCTTATTCAGGATCATACAAGTGATTCTGTAAGTGGCAGAGCTGGTCTTGAATCTATGATTATAGAATGCTGAAGCGCTCTTATCCATGATGCTAAATTACCTCCTTTAATTACATAATTACTACAAAATGAAACTATAACAAGCCACTAGTTATGTTTATATTTCTATATATTTGCAAGCCATATATGACATTATCTACAAAAAATGTATAATTCTTATATTTAATTACCAAAAAATGTATTAATTCTGTAAAACAAAGGATTAATTCTGTAAAAAAATGCAGAATCAGTGCCAAAAAATGCATTAATTCTGTAAAAAGAAAACTGCAGAAAACCAATACAGAAGTTAACTTTAAAAGTAACATGTGAATCTAACCTGTCATATTCCTCATTAAACCTACATTCTTATCTAAGGTAATTATTCTTCAGTTGTAAAACCTTCCAGACTTTCTCAATTTGTGTCTGTGTGAGTGTATATATATTTATATATAAATGTATTTATATATATATTTATCAATGTATTTATATATACACACACATACATACATATATCACATTTTATATTTATGTATGTATGTATGTATATACATATGTATGTATATGTGTGTATATGTACCTATATGTGTGTGTGTATATATATTCCAGATATAATTTTAAGTCATAATACATACCCTAATTTTTTGGCTCAGTAACATACCTTGGAGTTCTTTCGATATTGAAACAATTAGCTTTAATGCTTTCATTCTTCACTTCTGAATAGCTTACCATAATAGAGATATGTCATATTTGAATTTTCCATTTTACGATTGATGAACAATACATTATTCTGTGGGTTTTTTAACCTTTCTCTACAGCCTCTGTCATGTTATCTACCCAATTATTTATTGGATGCTTCTGTTTGGATGCCCAACAGGCGGGCTTCAATTTCCCCATGTCCAAAATGAAATTTATCACCAACCTCCACATTGCTAGCTCCTGTATGTTCTTTTAGTCAGGGCTACTGAAAATGTGAGGAATGCACCAGTGATGGTCAGGGATTATTTGAACTAGTCGATGGTGAAGTAAATACAGAAACTAAGAGAAAGCATTTAGAAACCATAGCACTTGAGCAATGCTGCAACATCTTCCCGTGCTAACACGCTTCTAGTAATTTATTTTTACTGTATTTTACAAAAGTATGCAATGAAAAAGAAATTAAAAAATAAAATAAAATAAAAAGCTGATCCGTCACCACAGATAGTCTGAGAAACAGTTACTGCTGCAATTCAGTGAAGGGCCCTACTATCCCACCAGTCTAAGCCAGAAATGTGAGACTTATTCTTCCTATCTCTCTGACCAAGAATATACATCGATAGATAAGCGAGAGAAAAACCATGAGCATGTTTTTAGAGAAAAGGAATTGCTTTCAAACTATTGTCTTTACTGGTCCCTTTTCCATTAGGTTAAAAACATGCTGATTTTCTCTGATCCTTTGAATACCCTTTTGCAGTCCCACTGGTGGAATTGAAATGGCTCTCCAACTATTGCCTGAGCTCTTTCCTTCTCTCTATAAAAATAATTTTGTTAAACATGTTTAGGAATGCAAAGATCCTTTCCATATTCCCCATTAGTTTTGTTAAACCACTGTAGTGTGATTTTTCCCAACTCCTCTGTTGAAAATCTTAAAGTTATCAAGCATAGACTTATTTGTATGAGTTGGTGGAAAAGTAATTGTGGTTTTTGCTATTACTTTTAAATGCAAAAACCGCAATCACTTTTTCACCAAGCTAATAAATTTGCTGTTGAGATCTTTTTTTCCTTGACTTCTGTGCAATATATAATACCATTTACCATTCATCCTTCCTCAACACTCAGTCTGTCCAATAGTTTCTGTTTCAAATCATTCAAGTAAAATGTGAAGTTATCTGTCAATAGGTGTAGGATATAAAATTGCCCCTGTAGAGATTAAGAGAGGGCTCTGTCTATAGAAAATGTAAAGATGGCCAGGCAGTGTTGAGGGCCTGGGTCAGCCTGGAGACCATCAATGTGGAGTAGCACCAACTGCTTCTTTCTCTTATTTTCTTTGGCGAATGTAGCCCTGGTGTAGATACAGAGAAAGTGGGTGGTTGGATTGACCCAGATATTGTCATTTTAAAGAGTTTGGGTGGTAGCTGAATGTTACTAGAGCAGATAAGATTACTGAAGGAAAACATGTCAAAGGAGAAGAAAAAAAAACAAGGATAAAATCCAGACAATGTTAATATTTAAACAGTTGGCAGAAAAGGTGTTTACTGATGATGCTAAGAAAAAATAATAGCCAGATGAAAGGACAAACATGAAAAGGCAGGGGCTAAAAATTTGAGGAGCGAGTTTTAAAAGGTATGTGTGATCAATAGTAGCCACTGTAAGCAATTTATGCTGTATGGGGCAGGGAAATATATAATTGGTTGTAAAAATTAAGAAGTCCTGAGTGATTTTTATCAAGGTAGTTTCAGAAACACCCTGAGAAGTTCATGCAGAAACAGCTTTTACTGAATCAGACATGAACATTGCTTCTGCAGCTCTGGGACTTACACTAGTGGCCATGATATTCCCAAAGCCATAAAATATATGACCACAATTAGTGGGCAGAAGCAAATCTCCCTGGAAAAATCTTTGTACGCACAATGCCTTCCCAAAGGCTTTGACCAGAGAGTGTTATCTGTCATCATCTGCTCTACTGCATAAACCATCCAGGCCCCTCTGTGGAAGTCATTCAATCAAGGCAAAGTCCTTTTACTTTGATAAAGAGAAATAGCAAACTACAAAGCTGATATCTCCTACCTAATGTCACTTCCACGCTCTGTCTTAATAGACTTCTACGCTCTCATGTCCAACTTTTTATGGTAATTTTCTTCTCTTTCTCTTCTCCAAGACTTCTTTCTGCTTAAAAAAAAATCGCATTAGGACATAAAAACCTTCTAAATCAATAAAAAAAAAGGACTAATATTTTTTTGTTCTTCCCATTTCCCATTTGTATTTTTCATTTTTTTATTCCAAAAGCTATCCCAAGAGCCCTCCGTGTCTTGGCACATGTGTCATGAAAACCCCAATCACTTCCTCCCACTTACAAAGTGCCTGATGAAGGGAGCACAAATTTTTCATCACCCAATTTGAGGGAAAAGAGTTTGCAAATACAAAACTTCCTAATGTGTCAAAAGCCCAAGAGCAGTCTCACAACCACCCTGCAACTTCAAGTGTCACTCAGTAAAGAGGAAAATTCTGCTTTTTCAGAAAGCACTGAACAATACACATGTTCTAAATGCCACGAGGTTAAACACGGGACAGGGGAAACTACTTCATTGGATGCATTCCCTGCTCTATTCTAATTTAGTACTATGGCAAAATCAATGCTTCCTGGCCTCCCAATTTCATTTTATAATTGTGATGGTTGGTATTGAGTGTCAATTTAATTGGACTGAAGGATGCGAAGTATTGTTCCTGGGTGTAAAGGAGATTAACATTTGAGTCAGTGGACTGGGAGAGACAGACCCACCCTTAATCTGGGTGGGCACCATCAAATCAGCTGTCAGTGTGAAAGTGGAATTAGCAGATTTGCTGAGTCTTCCAGCCTCCATCTTTCTCTGGTAATGGATGCTTCCTGTGCTTAAACATCAGACTCCAAGTTCTTCAGCTTTTGGACTCTGGAACTTACACTAGTGATTTGTCAAGAGCTCTCAGGTCTTCAGCCACAGACTGAAGGCTGCACTGTCTGCTTCCCCACTTTTGAGGTTTGGGAACTCAGACTGCCTCCCTGGCTACTTAGCTTGCAGACGACCTATTGTGGTATTTCACCTTGTGATTATGTGAGTCAATGCTCCTAATAAACTCCCCTTCATATATCTATCTATCCTATTAGTTCTGTTCCTTTAGAGAATCCTGACTAATAGTTGTCTTTCAGGTATATCCCAAGCTAGCTACCATGCAGTTAGGGAGGGCTATGACTCTGTTCCAGCCAATGAAATGTGAGAAGAGGCAACAAGGCTTGAGGTGGACTCCCTGTAATAGTGAAGGTGGAGTTAATGCATAAGATGGTAGATATACAATATTCAAGCAGCTTGGTTTGCATCAACTGAGATATCACATGGAGACCTGTCATCATCAAGTATCTTTCTACTTGTAATCAGGCTTTTCATGAGTGACAAACTTTTGTTGTTTAAGCCACAAGATTCAAAGTTTAATTTGTTTTAATTATTTAATTTGTTACTATTAAACTATAAGTTTAATTTGTGTACACAGTCTTTTCTATCTTGATTAATAGAAGCTTCACGCAATTGTAAACCTAAAAGGGATTTTATTCTCCAATTTCTTCCAAACCCCAATGAGTATGTGTGACATGACCAGTATCACAAAATTACTGAGTGGTGCAGAGGAGCCTAGAATGCCAGTCTTCTGACATTTGGTTCACTGCTCTCTCTTTTATAACAAAGATTACAATCTATGATATTGGAACAATAGTGACAAATATTTTGATAGCATGCTTTTATCAACATTTTAGAAAACTAGACACATTTCCAGCACTTTGGGAGCCCGAGGTGAGTGGATCACAAGGTTAGGAGTTCAAGACCAGCTTCGCCACAATGGTGAAACTCCATCTCTACTAAAAAATAAAATAAAATAAAATAACCAGGCATGGTGGCGGGTGCCTGTAATCACAGCTACTTGGGAGGTTGAGGCAGAGAATTGCTTGAAACTGGGAGGCGAAGGTTGCAGTGAACTGAGATTGCACCAGGGCACTCCAGACTGGGCAGCAGAGTGAGACTTCATCTCAAAAAAAGAAAGAAGAATAGGCACACTTATACATATAGGCATAATAAATAAATATTATTTTTAAATGTATGTGTATAAATGCAGAAATATATGTGACTACACATAAGAGAAGGGTAGCTCCTTCAGTGTCTTTTACATAACGTGTTGGAACTTGGTACCACCCATCTTGATAAAGATTTGTAGACTCATATTGTTGTTTTAACTAGAAGCTGCCCTAAATATTACATATTGTTTAGTTTTTCATTTGCTCTTGGTAAATGAGGAAGCAGAGGCCCAGGAAGTTAAACTGTATTTCATGAGTTCATATGATCTATAGGAGGGTAATGTTTGAGAGAGAATACATTGATAGTTTTTAGGAATTATTTATTATTACTATCTGCTAGGGGCTAGGAACAAAGCAAAATAGTGTGAAGAGAATTGCTGTCCATTACATAAGACTGAGGTAGTCTCTCGGATTCCTCAAGGGAAGGGGGTGATGAAAATAATGTCACTCCAACTTCTGTTTTCCCTTGTGGTTGAATAAGCCATTATGATAAATTATCTCCCACCTTGCGTGCCTATGTGATTTCTCTGCACAAGCTTTCCTTATTATGATGTTTTAATCTCCTTTCTTGGTAAAGTACTGATGCCCTAGATTCAAATGATCCTCTGTTAGACTCTAGTCTATGTGAGGCCCTGAGGTCCTGAGGTCCAACAGGTCTCTACTAGTGATCTATTTAATTTTTTCATTGTCAAAGAGCAATGCAATTCCTTCAGAAAGCTCTGCTTGAAAGATAGTATTTCAAATCCCCTCCTGTTTATGAAGTATAATACTCTATTAGAATTGTGAATATTATATGTACACATATACGTAAGTTCAACAGCCACATTCCATAATATAAGCCAAACATAATCAAAAATCTATGATCCTGCTCTCAGCAACCCGACCACAGAGCTCACAATTCCTCTCTGTTGGTTAGCTTTTACCTTGCCTTCATTAGTCAACAAGTAGAAGCTTTTCTTTTTCATTTTTTTAAAGGTATTTGACACATAGTAACTGTATACATTTATGGAGTACATAATGACGTTTTGATACATATAATATATAGTGATAAGATCAGGCAATTAGCATATCTACCAACTCAAACACTTATCCTTTCTTTGTATTGTGAACTTAAAAAAAGCTGTTATACATCAACATTAAAGGATCCCAAATGCTGGTTATCCCTCCACTTGAAAAATTATGAATATAACATTGCCTCCCACCAGTTAGCAATAACCATAACTCCCATATGCCTTCATTATACTTGGGACATATGTTCATTACAGATTATTTCATTGTGACTTAGTATGATTCATTTGTATAAGTCCCTCCTATTTAACTGTAAGTGCTTTAAGGTAGGGTATTGCTTTGTATATGCCTACATCCCTGACACTGATATTAAATTTGTTTGTTTCAATAAGTAAGAGGATGAATAGCTATGGAAGTAATTATTTGAAAGTGATGGAAAGGATCCCATAAATGTAAATAAATTACATGTACAGAAGGTAAGAAAGCGAGATTCAAAGCTGATTCTGACTTTACTGATCATGAGTTTTACATCCATTTATCTTTCAGGGGGTCAGGCTCACAAACCGGCCTTTCTCTTTGTAAGATAAATGCCTTTCAGACGCACAGAAATACCCATCCTTGGCTTGATAAAAAAAAAAAAAAAAAAAAAAGTGAAGTAAAGAAAAAAAACAGACTCCATGCAGAAATCAGAAAGTAGGGCAAGGCCCAAAAAGATGGTAGCTGATAAACTCTGTTCTCTGAGAAGGAAAAAGAAAATGCCTTCTCCGACTAACCCAGCCAGCTTCAGCTTCAGTTCACTACATTTTCAATAGGTGGAAGCACATCAAGCCTAGAGTAAGAAAAGGGTCCTTCTGGAGTATAGGATTTGTCTAAATCCTGCACAAAGAGCAAACATAAAAGCATAGGAAATGAAAACTATGATGCTGGAGCAACCCTGGTAGCATCCAATGGGACTCCCTCTCACTGGATTGCCAGTTAAGTGTTAATGAGAAACCTGGGAGTACCCCCAAGATACCATGGGCAAGACTTATATTCTCCCCATTTATTTAATCCTCAAACTGAATATCATCATACCAGGCACTCACGCACAGGAAGAGTTAAAAGGATGTTTGTAATATGGCTTAAAACCCCTGATGTTAAAGTGACTTTCTGAAGACAAGGCTGTGGTGATGGATCTAAGTTCTTCACACTTCCTGTAACTTGCTCTGCTTCCTAAAATTCTATTCTCTGAGTTGACCTTGCTTAGCTGGTATTATATTTTAGATAAACCTATCTATTAATAATTCACTCATTTCTCATTTACATTGTTATGTTTGTTTTCTTAAGGAAGTAAGAGTATTGATTTTAATTCCTATATCATGAAGCAAATTATTTCTGACCTCTGTATGTACAGAAGATATGCATTTAAACTGCAACTCTTACTAGCCATAAAACACCCTGCTGAATCATGAATATTAAAGCAGATAACTTTCCATCTTGAGGCCAAGGGTGTATGCTTCCATGGGAAAACAAAATAAGGTGATTTAATTTTAAGAAAAATAATTGAATCATGTAGAAGTTGGGGAAAGTTTAAGGAGGACTATAAGAGCTTAATATAAGAAAATCTAAATATTATTGCCATAATTGTAATGCTACAGAGGAAAATATATTCAGAATTATATCATTCCTTTATAACTGAAAAACAACTATATTTTCCTCAGGAGGTAAGTTTTTACTTTAGTGATCACTAATTCTTACCTTAACTTCCCAGGATACAGTTTTTTCTTATTTGTCTTGCCACTCTATTGAGGCATGTAAGGTCATGGCCTTGGAAAGGCTGTACACACACACACACACACACACACACTCACATATGCACACACATACACACATCTATGACATTATCAAAATTTCCTAAGGCTAATTTATAATTATCCTTTAAGATTTGTTATATGTACATGGCATTAATACTTTTTTTTTTCCAAAATCAAGAGTGTTGTGAATTTCCTCAAATTGATCCCTCTAAAATGTTTAAATTAGAAGTGAAAGTATGGATGCACCATTGAGAAAAGAGAAAGAAAG